CGAAAATGTAAATCCCCCTTTCCCCTCCCCTCCTCTCCCCGAGTCCCGGAGCCCAGGGTTGGAAAGCCTTCCCAAAATTTGTGGCTTTTCAAACCCGCGCCGCTTTTTCTGGGCGTTTGCAGGATGCCGCGTGTCGGGGAGTTGTCAGTGTGGAGAGGGGGGTTGTCCAAAACGGGGTTGGGATGGTTTCCTCCGCGTCCGACTGTCCTCCTGGGTGTCGCGAGTCTGTTTTGCCCCCGTTCCCAGAAGCTGCTCAAAGAGGGGCTTCCCTCTGGATCGTTTCGGTGATGGTTTTTTATCATTAAAGGGGCTGTAGTCCGGATGGCCCCGCTAAAAACATGGTCAAGCAGTGGTGGTTGATCAGATGCCCCAGTGGGAGGAGGTCTTCGAGGAGAGGTGCATTGTGCTCAAGACTTCAAGAGCTCTCTGCCGGCTCTTATTTACAGAAAGGCTCTGCTCCGGCATCAGGAAAAGGAGGTTTTGCTTGGGCAAAAGTTTCTCCCTCACCCACCCTGCGGCAGGGGTGTGGGAACAGCGGTGCTGAGGACCAGTCTTCATCTGGTGGGACCCTGGATGCGGGATCCAGCGCTCACTGGTGCTGCGGGAACACAGAAACAAAAGATATTTCCGAGCCTTACTCAAGTCTGTTCATAAAAGCAGAATAAAAATACCCTTCCAGCATCCATCCAGCCCCGCACCCTCCAGCCCCGCTGCCCCTCTCCCAGTCCCACCAGCACTGCCAGGGGACCGGCGGTCGGCCACCATTCGGAGCGACAGCGGGGACCCGGGGCGAGGATGCTGTGGCAGGGCCAACTCCGAGGCTCACGCTCGTCCCCTGCCTGGGCCTTGTTAGCGCTCCTCAAACTCTCTTTGCGAGGAATATGCTTACTTTCAAAAATATGAAAGATCCTATACCGAATGCCACAAACCGTTCTCGTCTAAATCTCTTCCAAAACACAGGCTGTGCGCGCTACCCTGGGTTGGGTAAAGCCGTAAGAATTTGTTTCTCTGTGCCTGTGCCAAGGACGGTACTTAACGGTTAATCGCAGAGCGCCAAGGTCTGCGCTGGGCTAAGAGCAAGAAATCCTCGTTTGGGAATTTTGGCAGAACTCGGGCTTTACGTAGAGGCGTTTTTTTTTCTTCTGGCCGTGGCAGCGGCCGCTGTAGCGCAGTTATTTCTTCCTCTCTTTTTTGAAAGAGGAGCGGTCCTCGGCGCTCGGAGTAGGCGGAATTAGGCAGGGTCTCGTGCGTTCAGCCTGGGTGGGGGCTTTGGGGACTTTGTTGTGCTGTGATGCTGCTCTCGGCCTCAGCACGGTGAGGGTGGACGAGCCTCCTCTCGCCCGCCGTCCCACCACACAGGGACCCTGTTGTTTAGATGACCGTTGCCTGAACGCCCAACGAGACGCTGAACTTGGTGAAAACCAGGGCCCAGCAAGATTTGCTTGCGTTTAACACCAGGGCAGGTTTGGGACCGCACTCCTGACCTTACAGAGCATCCCGTGGGGATGGAATACGCAGCAAAACAACCCAAGGGTTGACCGCAGGAGGACTGTCGGACCGCGGGACATCAGCAGAGCTTGGGCGCAGGACGGAACTGGCCTCAGTGGAGGATGAGGTCCCACCTCCCAAATTCCTCCTGGCATGACTTGAGCCCCCCTCCCAGCGAGGGCTGAGAGGTGCTGGTGGGACCCGGCGCAGGGAGGGAGGAGGAAACGCCGGGTCGGAGGCAGATGCCCACTTCTTCGCCTTTCACAACCGCCCGCTTGTTGCTTTGATTTCCGCCTTCGCTTGTTAGATAATGACTTTATTTTTTTTCCCCAAGAGGCCGAGAACTATGGAAAAAATGTTGCAATCTTCGTTCCCTTTCGCGCTGTCAGACATTCCTGGAAAAGACTTATCTCAAGAATTCAGCTCTGAATCCCAGGATTGTGCGTCGGCACGGCTG